CTCAGTAACGTCTTTATAATAGTGACAATATATTTGTGTGTAGTTAATACTATTTTTTCAGTTACTAATGTATGCTGTGTGCATTTAAAATTTCTTTATAGTTTCAATCTCTGATATAACCTTTGTTGCCCAGAGTAGTGTTTAAGTTAGGTTAGGAGGTGTGCATCTGTTGGTGTAACATAATTATATTGAGTGCCCTTAAGGCCTATTCATTGTAGAGTATTTAATTTCTTATTTTTTAATACCATTTCCTCAGTGACTGATATTATTTTGTTGAAAACACTTAAGGCCTGCATCTGTTGGTGTAACATAATTATATTGAGTGCCCTTTAGGCCTATTCATGGTGGAATTAATAATTTCTTATTTTTATACCACTTCCACAGTGGTGGATATTATTCTGTGAAAACCCTTAAGGCCTGTTTCATGTGTGCAAGCAACATTTCTTAATACTTCAAATTTATTGTTGCCTGAGTTTCTAATAATGTCAATATCATGTATAACTTTTATTCCCCAGAGTAGTGTTTTAAGTTCAAGTTAAGAGGTACGCATATTGGTGTACCATTATTTGATTGTGTTTGTAGTGTTGGAGGGAATATAAGTGTCTAAATTTTACAGTGTGTCTCATTCATCCCAGTCACAGACGCTATCCTTCCACGGGTCACGGACAAGTCATTTTGTTTAGTAGATTTAAGTGTTCTTGTGCTGGTTCGGGATTTTTCTCACTAAGGGGCGCTTCCACTGCCATTACCATCTAATAATCTTTAATAAACCCCAAGTCAAGTGAGAAAATAAAGTCCAGTAAATTCCGACCGGTTACATATACTGTATATATATATAAATATATACATATATATGTATATATATATATATATATATATATATATATATATATATATATATATATATATATATATATATATATATATATATATATATATATATATATATGTGTGTGTATATATATATATATGTATATATATATGTATATATATATATGTATATGTATATATATATATATATGCAAGTAAATCACTGTAGGTGCGCGTGATCTAGGTATATGCTGATAACCACAAGGAAAGAAGAAAACACGAAGTTCCCAAGAGCTTAGATGATATTGATGTGATAACCGTGGTAACATACTGATATTTTCTTATTACCACCATGCTATTGTAGTATTCCAGAGGATACTAAATGTCACATAATACTTCCTTGAGATAAATTTACAGTATATATCAGGTGCCTACAAGAGAGCTCAGGTTCTTAACTGGCTCAGCCATGTTAATATTGTAATTATCATCCACTCTGTATCTGTGTTTTTTTGGCTAAATAAACGGATTCAATTAAATTAAATTGCATTCTGGCTTCACAATGAGGAAGGACTTACTGGCGTTTGGATGGCACCCTATATATGGACCTCGTGATGTCATCAGGTCCAACCACTTTTTGATGTCCTCCACTTTTCCTGCTCCTGTTAGGTCATCAGCGTATGCCACTTGCTTGACCTCATTTTTTTCATATTGTATTGTATGTTGGAGCACAGACAGGACTAGTGCGTACATTGCCATGGCGACAAGGTCCCCCTGCGTTGTTCCCGCACTTGACTGACTGACGGTATTTCCTCTTAGGACCTTGAAGCTTGTTGTAAAGGGGTCTGATGGGTTCCTAAAGGTGTTTTCAACATACATTGTGAAGCTTGGACACTTGATCTTGATGTTGTGCAGTGTAGCCTTGCGGTTGATTATGTTGAATGCATTGGAAGAGTCAACCAGGAGTACTGCCTCAGAATCACGCAGTTCAAATATGTGTCTCATGGCGTGAATGGCAGGTTCCCCGCCAGCCTGGTGGCCAACACATACTTGCAGGTTCTCTGCAGCTGCCCTGACATCGTCATTTACCATCTCCATTATGCATTGTCCAATGATCCGCCAAAGCACTTCCCACACCCTGAAAGGCCTACATCCTGGATTTTTATCCAGTGCGGCAGGCCGTCAGAACATGAAGGTGATGACAACACGAGGTTGCTAGCTTTCTTGCAAGGGAGGCGATGGCATTGCAGAGATCACTTGCATCGGAGCCAAACTTGTTAATACTGAGGGTGACTCTCCAACCGTCTGTATCCAGGCCTGAAGGGCCGGTACCTCCCTGAGTCTTCAGTGCATTATTCCACACCATTCATCCTGTAATTTCCTCGAACATGACAGCATTTGGAGGGATATAGGCTTCCTGGAACCTGATGCTTTCCTCTTCACTTGCAGGGGGGATGTTTTTCCTTTAGTTGTTGTAATGTCTAATTGTTTGTTGGCAGGACACCACCGGAAGATTTCTCTGAGAGAGCTTGCCGCCAAGGACACTTTTCCCACCCGCATCTTGTTAATAAGCTTTCTGGCAACATCCTCGGTGTTTTGCTGTCCTCCTATAAATTTTAGTCTCTCCTGCAGTGTTCTTTACTCACGTAGGAGATCATCAAGGGCCCCTTTCTGCCAAATTGTCAATCTTCTCTTCATTGCTGCCACATTTCTTTGCACTTAGACCTTGCGTGTGTTCTCTGAAAGAATAGATGGGGTATTATTTCCACTATGGCCTGAGTGAACTCGATTATGAGGCGAGTCATCTCCCGAATAATTTTTTTAGTGGCCGCACACTTGGGTGGTTCAAAGAGGTTAGCTGACGACCACCTGACAATTTCTGGGTAGGTTTCTTTAACCCATTTATCAGCATTTTCCATCAACATGCCATTCCACTGTGGTGGCTGTCTGTCATTCACCTTGTGGACATCAGCTACTATTGGAGCAGCATTTATTAGTACTACATTTTCAGACTAAGTTGACTCAGTGCTATCATTCCGGATATCATCCAGCGGTGGTGTCCAGGCGATATAGACTGTGTCCTCCCGTGACGGCTCCCTGGCCTGGGGAGACCGACAATTGTTCCCCTTTCTGCGCCCAACACATCAGCGGTTGTTTCTCGCACACTCACAGCTTGTGCAATTTTGGTTCCGGCTAGGACAAATGCAGCAAAAACAGTTGCCCGGCACAATGCTCCACACTTCGGGCAACAGGAATGTCTGCCACTGATATCTGCTTTGGTTTCATTCGGAGGAAACTATTTCTTACGAGAAAAGGGCAGAGAGGTGACAGGTTGGACTGCAGTGTCCGGGTAGTAGGGACATACGTAATAATAATAAATAATAATAATTAACGGTTTATTGAAAAAATTCTGCAGCCCGAAGGCTGAAAATATACATTGGACATAAATGACTTATTACATACATTGGTGGTTTAACAAAAGCCTTCATTAGAGAAAGGTAAAGGAACATACAGTGAACATACAGATTAATGTTGGTGTTGAACAGCAAACTCGTAGTGTAGTAACTCCCTCCCAGATGGTGATAGGAGGAACTCACGTGGTGTAGTAGTTCCCTCAGATGTTGTTATGAGGGACCTGGCGTGGTATAGTAATTCCCTCGCTGATGGTGTTATGAGGGACCACGTGGTGTAGTAATTTCCTCACAGATGGTGTTATGGGGGACCTCACGTGGTGTAGTAATTACCTCACAGATGGTGTTATGAGGGACCTCACGTGGTGTAGTAATTACCTCACAGATGGTGTTATGAGGGGCATCACGTGGTGTAGTAATTCCCTCACAGATGGTGTTATGAGGGGCCTGACGTGGTGTAGTAATTCCCTCACAGATGGTGTTATGAGGGACCTCACGTGGTGTAGTAATTCCCTTACAGATGGTGTGATGAGGGACTTGTGGTGTAGTAATTCCCTCACAGATGGTGTTATATGAGTGAGGTTTGGTCCCAGGCCTTCCTATCGTAGACGGATTAACACATCGGTGGTTGTTTTTTGGGTCTCGCGGGGGCCGTTATCACTGGGTACCTGGGACCTCACTGTGTGAAGGTTAACTTGGGTACGACTGTTACTATTGAGTTGTTCCCACTGACTTAAGCACTGTTCACCACTGTTCACCTCTGTTTAACACTGGTTCCGTTCCTTTCAAAATGAAATTGTAACTTCTGGCGAGAACTTGTTGATATTCCGGTGGGGAGGAGGGTTCAGGGGAGGGGGTTGTTATGGGCCAACTTAACAGTTGACCTGGCTGCTCCGAGAGGAGCGCCAGGTACGTCTTGACCCTTCGGTGGTCAAGGATGCAATGGGTATGGATGTGTAAGCCACCCCTGGGGGGATGAAGGCAACAGTCTATATCTATGGCGGGAATAATCACAATTTCTATGATCACACTGATGTAAGTATGTAATAAAGTCTTACTTTGTCGGGTGTGGAGGGTGGCTGGCACTTCCCGAGGTGTCTGTTTGCGTGTGGGCAGTGGCAGCAGGCATAGAATTGTTGACCATCTATCACTGGCCTTAGGGGCGGGAGTCTCGAAACCGTTCGATCTTAAGTAGGCCTACCACACAATGAGGCGACCGGCATTACCAACCGTCACACTTAAAACTCCCCTGGTGATCGCTGGTACACGCATGGAAATTTGCAATCAATGCCTTAAGGGATGAGGAGAATCTTCAGTGGCAATGTTTAGGGTGAAAGTCCGATACTTACCGACACACTGTGAAGTTCTGTTCCAGCCTACTGAGTATGTCCCCTCCAAAATCGCTATAAACCAGGGAGGGCAGGGCACACAATTACACCCACGCCACGCTACTACTACTACTACTACGTCTACTACTACGGCTGATGAGTATAAATATAATAGATTTGATTTGTTAGGAACAAATACGTACAAAAATATAAACCTTAGTGTAGAATCTGATACATATTTTAGTAGCTTATCGTAAACATTAAGTACACATAGTGATAGAGTGAAAAGTATTTAATGCTGTCTTTATTGTGAACAGATGTTAAAAATCATAGAACCTAAGTATAATAATAAAACTTTTATGTGAAAAAACTTTACATCCAGCAGGATTTAAATGCATGCATTTTAATACTAAGTGAAATTCTACTGCACATGCTGGATACTGGTTTAACGATTAAATACCCAGAGATTTGTGATAGAGAGATTTGAGGTTACGGTAATTTTCTGTGGCGCCTGCACACAGGTCGTTGCATTTCCAACACTATACTTGATCCACTTGTCCATCAGTCCTGCTTCGTGTATTGCCATAACCCTTCGTACAGTAATTGAAATGGATTAATATATATATATATATATATATATATATATATATATATATATATATATATATATATATATATATATATATATATATATATATATATATATATATATGTATATATAACTCAATGGAAAAGGGAATCACTGGAACACTAAGTGTTCCAGCGATTCCCTTTTCCTATAAGTTTTTATTAATATTTATCTTCTCAACCTTTCCCACTGTGGATCTGCAAGATATATCTCCATCCACACTCATTGGCATAATACACATACAATTACTAGAGTCAATAATAAGACTAAGACATTCCTCACCTTTTATTAATGACAGGAGTGAGAGGGCTGTACTTCTTGAGAATCATAACGAAGGGAAAAGACAGGACTTTTTCTCTCGACATGTAGTAGTCGCATCGACCTGAAGATATGTTGAAAAATTAAGTTTTAAGTGACCATCATTGTGGGTTTTCATGTGCTTATTCATCGAAGCTGTCCATCAATATGGATTGTGAATTTTTGGTGAATAGATACGCTGATGAAGCACATTTCCTTAAGGACTATATCCATATGGACGGTTGTTCTTTAAAAAGAATGGATGTAAAAAAGGAACACATGAATGTTTCACCAAATATCTAAGAACACTTTTAATCAAGAATAAAGATATTAACCTGTTCGTGAGACATCCTGAGCCATTGAGTTTCTAATGTTAATATCAACATCGACGAGGGTGTGGCCGCCGGCTCTCACTAATGTATCAGCCATCTTGGGAAACTCCCCCAACTGTCTGTATATGATACGCCCAACTTTCTTGAGGTCTGCCACCTCACGGTATATCCCAGACGCAGCGGACTTGAAATTTAGGGAAAAGCATCAGCATAGAATTTTAACGCGTAATATTATAAATTGTTTTCCTTGTACGGACATTTTAATGCAATAATTTACTTCATATTTAGAGCATATTATGATGCTTAAAATATATGTGGGAAACATAAGAATTATAATATCCTACACAATCTTTTGGTTTTAAAAGGGGTAAGACATTAATGTTAATAGACCTCATACATTATAATAAAAAGGCAATATCAAGCTTATTTATACATAATATGCTAAGAAGTAAATGTTAGGGATATTAATAATCAAATAGCATTTAATGGATCCTATTTAACGCTTTAAAACTGATCTATTAAACGTAAAGTAAATGTATAATTAAAATAAATTGTACACAAGATATAAATCCTTCTCCATATAATATGATTATTGTATTTGAAGGTTTTAATTACCAATTATAACAGACATCTCTTATTCATCTCCCTCAACAACTTTCCCAACAGTCTAGTACAGTATATTACACAGTACAACTGATTAAACGTAAGAAGACCATATAAATGATAGAAGTCAAACTGTCCCATTTTTGTGACTTTTATCGTAGAACAGGATTTCTTTTTAGTCTCGTCTTTGACTTTGTAGTACTTCGAGCGCTAGTGAATTCTTTTGAAGAACAAAAGACCAGCTATCATGATTAACAATAATAATAATATTATTATTAGTATCGTGATTCACTTCTGAGGTTATTGTGCATCGACATTGTTATTTTTTTGACAAATACGCCATACACCTCAGTTAATATCCTGTGCAGAAAAAACGGTGTATGAAACATAGGTATATTAAAAGTAGCCTAAGCTCTACGCTATCTGGTATTTAATTAACTAAATATACGAGTTCAATAAAACAGCCGAAAAAATGTTTACCATAGTTGTTAAGGGAACTAGATATGAACATGCCTGTATCTGATAGGACAGTAAAGAGTTTTCTTGCCATATCATGTTTACAGATGGGTCATCTAGCACGTCCCGGAGGCTCTGGTAAGGTTGAGGAATGTGTCTCACGGCCAGGAGGGCCATGAGGTTGCCGGCATAGCTTCGTGTTAACACCAGCGTCATCATCATCCACACCGCCAACACCACCCGATGCCACCACCAACAGTCACCAGACGCACAAATGTCTGACAAATATATATATATATATATATATATATATATATATATATATATATATATATATATATATATATATATATATATATATATATATATATATATATATATATATATATATATATATATATATATATATGCAAGTAAATCACTGTAGTTGCGCGTGATCCAGGTATATGCTGATAAGTTATCAGCATATACCTGGATAATTATGCATTTGCATATGTGCATATGCAAATGCATATTTAAGCCATTTTTGAGCTAAAGTGCATATTCATATTTTTTTGTTTTATAAGGCATATATTTGGAAAATTCCAAAATATTATAAAACATTCTTCAATCTCAAGAGGGAAAAAATTCACGAGCATAACAGCAACGCTGGGGCAGAAATTAGTGATATTTGAAATATAAAAGTCCATTTTATTGCACTAAAACAAAATCGAAAATACGCGATTTTGTTTTGGCGTCATAATATCCACAAGAAATATACTTAAGTGACGTTTATATAGCTCAACATTAGGCTGTGGTTAGCTAGGCCGTGATTGGCTGGTCAGTGGACATGAACATAAGAACGTAAGAATGGAGGAAACTGCAGCGGGCCTATTGGCCCATACTGGGCAGTCCCGTTTACACCCAACCCCTATTGCTCATATAAGCATCCAACCTATGTTTGAAGCTATTCAGCGTATTCGAGTTAATGATGATATTTGGTAACTGTTCCATTCATCCACCACTCTGTTTCCAAACCAGTGTTTACCTATTTCCCGCCTAAATCTAAATTTGTCTAATTTAAAACCATTGTTACGAGTTCGCTCCTGGTTGGATAGTTTGAGTACCTTTGTAATGTCCCCTTTGTTTAGCCCTGCCTTCCACTTGTACACCTCTATCAGGTCGCCCCTCGCTCTACGTCTCTGTACGTGATGGGTTCGTGTTCAGCCAGGCAGGGTCTAGATGCACGAGATCCATTAGTTCCCTCCTGACACTCTTTTGTTCTTCTATTTTCTTAAAAGGAAAATACTTTTTCAGTATTGTTTAATAAATTACTTTATGTCAGTATATTGTTTTTTTTTTGTATTTAATAAATTCTTTAAAAAATCTTACTTCGGCGACATCCTGTCTGGGAAAGTAAATTTACTGAGAAAATGTATAGAAAAGGAGTTATTAACTCAGTAGTTATTATTTATTAACATTTTAAAGTGCATATTTTCTCAGTTTTTACTGCATATTTGCATGCATATTTAGCCATTTTTAAATGCATAATTATCCTAAGCCTACAGATAACCACAAGGAAAGAAGAAAACACGAAGTTCCCAAGCACTTTCATGTAATTCCCCTCTTCAGGGGTGAGTACAGACTAAGGAGAAGTACAAAACAAGGTACATATATACAGAGGAGGGTGAGATCAGGTCCATAATGGTCAGGTATTAGGTAATGACCCTACTCATCTTTAAAAAGCACGGCAACTGTCGGTAGTCAGGTCAAAGGGTAAGGTGACCCAACCTTCTCACCTGGTTACAAATCTTCTTAATTACAAAATTGTCCAGTTTGTACATGCCATTACTCAAATTCATGTTGACTGCTTCGGTATGTTTAATGAGACTAGATTCTATAATGTTCCTACTGTCAATTGAATTACAAGGTAATGTTGAGGAGGCAATATCCCAGTCAATGCAATGCTTATTATCCCTGAGATGAACAAATAGAGCATTGGATTCCTGGCTTGTCCTGACACTATATTTATGTTGTTTAAGTCTAGTTACAAGATCTTTACCTGTCTGGCCTTAGTAAAACATATTACATTCCTTGCAAGGGACTTTATAAATGCAACCCATTGTGTTGGGGGAGTTCTTGATTAACATTTGTTTAACAGTGCATGAGTTTTAAAATGCCACATTGACGTTCCAGGTTTTTAGTTGTAAAGAACTGCATAGAACTGATCCCAAGCCCACCCATGACCATAAGAATCTCTTAGTATTACCATTTCACAAAAATTCTCTCAAATTCTCAGAAGCCTCTGATGCTGCACTCTGTGAAATGCTTTGCTAAAGTCTAAGTAAATAAAATCGTAATTTTCGTCATTATCTACTACCTCGAAGACTTTCCTAAAAAATATCAGCAGATTTGTTAGACAAGATTTTCCCTTTGTAAACCCATGTTGAGAGTCGTAGATTAATTTGCTTTTCTATAAATGCGATCGGATGTTATCTGCTATAATTGAGTCAAGAAATTTCCTCACTACTGACGTCAAACTGATCAGCCCGTAATTTGACGCTGATGCTCTGTGTCCCTTTTTGAGTATGGGTACTACATTTGCCTGTTTCCACAAGTCTGGCACAACTCCAGTGTCTAATGATTTTGTAAATAAGTTTACGAGGGGTCCGCTAATCTGTTCCCTACACTCTTTCAAGACTCGAGGGAAAATTTCATGCTGCCCTGGGAATTTTGTCTTCTTTAGTTTATTTATCTTCTTAAGAACATCCTCTTTTGTGATAGTGATATTCTTTAATTTCTCTTCTTCCGTTCTCTTAAATATCAGTTCCACCTCTGGAATTTCATAGCGAATTTCCTTTGTGAAAACTGATAAGAAGTGGCTGTTCAATGCTTTGCTTATTTCTTCACTGCCATTCTCAATTCTCCCCTCCCCGACTTTAAAGGCCCAACTTTGTCCTAGACCTTTGTTCTATATACCTGGAAAAATCCCTTGGGATTAGCCTTGGATTCTCTTGCTAATTTGATTTCATAGTCTCTCCTTGCTTTCCTTACATTTTTCTTAACATTCCTAGATAGTTCATTATACCTATTTCTTATACTGTATATTCATTTCTTTATTCCTATGTCATGTTTAAGTTTTCTGGTCATCCACCTTGGCTCATTCTTATTTGACCTAATTTTTCTGTATGATATAGTTTGTTCTTGTGCTTTATGTAGCAAACTAGTGAATACATTATAGTTATGATCAATTGTTGTGTCATCTATGACCTCACCCCTTCCAACTGGTGACTCATGTGACTGTTCCCAGGTGACCTCACCTAGGTACCTTCTTAACCCCGGATATAATCCGGCATTCGAAACTTTGGGACTCTGAACAGATTGTCATTGATTTTCGATTCCCAATTTAGGGTGAACCTGATTTCTCTATGATCACTGTTACCTAGTTCTTCCCCTGCTGTGATATCTCTGATAATATTTTCTTTATTTGTTAATACTAGGTCTAATATATTGTCACCTCTAGTAGGTTCTGTAATTAGTTGTTTCAAAAAATTGTCCTGTACTGCGTCTAGGAAGTCTTCAGATTCATAGTCACCTACAATGTTGTCCCAGTCAATATTTCTGAAGTTGAAATCCCCCATAATGCACAGGTTGTTATATTTTGCTGCCCTACTCATTTCCTGCCGTATAGGCTGAGCTGCTTCTTTCCCAAGACTTGGGGGCCTGTAAATCACTCCCATAATTAGTTTTTTTCTTCCTTCCGTGATTTCTACCCATACAGACTCGGTTCCTATTTCACCCTTTATTGAATTATTAATACAACATTTTAATGTATCCTTGACGAAGAGTGCGACCCCTCCCCCCTTCCTACCTTCCCTGTCCTTGTGAAAAAGGTTGTACCCTTCTATGTGGTACTCTGATAAAAAAAATTTGCTCGCCAGATTCATCCAAGTTTCGGTGATTGCTATGACGTCTACATTCTCGGTACATACAACCGCTCTCAGCAAGTCTATTTTATTTCTAACGCTCCTACTGTTTGTATCGTATACATTTACACCTACCCTTTCCTGGTTCTGTTTTACCCCTTGTCCTGAGTAACCAATTTTACTACCCAGGACCAGCTTGTTTTTTGACTTCCACTT